ATTTTAATTCAAACAACAATTTCACCCTATCTTTAAAATTATATATGATGTTTCTGACATAATTTTTTAATTAAACAAATCTTAATTTCAAAATATCATTTTATATATTTGACTTCGTAATGTAATTTTTAAAATGTCATTTAATATAATATTAATTCATATATAATATTCATAATATATGTATTAATTTGTATTCGGAGTTAAAAAATAAATTGTTTAATTATTTTTTGGTAAATAATAAAAGGCCAGTGCCTTACAAAAAATCATGATAGCCAAAAAAGAAAAAATCCCCATAAATCTAGTAAAAAAAGACTATAAAATACCTTATGTATATAGAACCAAGATACATAAAATAAGGGGTGGTGATACATATCCATTATCAAATGAAACCTAAGGTGATTATAGAAATTAGAACAAACTAAAATTATTTAATTATTATTACTGATATGATTACAAACAAAATCTCACGTGAGTATAAAAATTAGAACAAATTAAACTTATATTATTATTATTATTACCAACATGATACCAAATTTTGTTTAATAATAAATATTTTTTTGCATGAAATAATTACTATTTTAATAAAATCAAAACATATTGGTATGAAGCTCGTGCGATACACAGGAAAAGTAGTTTTATTGACAATTGTTGAAGTTATATGACATAAACATTTAAGAAAATTCAAATTAAAAATATTAAATAATTAATTATTAAGAACATCATATATTATTAAACAACTCTTTGTACATAATAGTTTTAGGTGTCCTCATGGACAAACCATTCTTCACACAAACTAAAATTTTCAAACTCTTTCGATTAGTAGCACAAAACAAAACTGATCGTAGGCCAGAATGTGATAAAGATTGGCCTTCACTCTTGTTAATCGTCATGACATAAAGAACCATAAGAAAAACCGCTTCATCATTATAATAAAATATCTACTTAATTGTTGTATTATGCCTCAAATTTGTGTTCAATAACTCGATCATAGAAAGTAGAGTGATAATTCATTTATTAAAAAATATACCAACGATAGAATTAAGAATGAGTAAAGAACGATCATTCAATTCTCATGTCATTCGATAATACCAATAATGTCATAAGTGTTAGTTAATTAGAACCTGAACAGAAAGCACGCCATGCATCTTAATGGGAACAAGTTTCCCATGAACAGATTTTTCCGGTCGGTGAAGATCTATGTCCTTAAGCTCGACATCAGCATAAGCTTGAACAAAATCCACGCCACGGTTGTTGCATAGGATCTCCGGCTCTCCCTGGCTGTTGTGCACGATTTCACCAGCGAGAGGATAGAATGTCGCCAGCACTTGAGATAGGGCCTTCTTAAGCTCAACTACTGGCAAAGAGTTAATATTGTCACCATCTTTTCCGACAATTTTCTTATAGCAAAAGAAAATCCCGAAGTCGAGGGGCGGCAGGAGCAAGTCCAGGTTGGACAACGGCAGCCAGTGGTCCTGCACTGGCAGCACGGCTGTCACCACCTCACTCCGCCTCATAGTCACCGAAAAATCACTGGATTCCATGAGAGAAAAAGAAAGAAAGAAAGCAAGAAATGGAGATAAGAATGCATGAAGCTACGAAGCAAAGAGAGTATATATAATTGAATTAGTCTGGTCTGATCATATTAATTGAAGGATATATAATGTAAATATTTGGGAATAGTTAAGATGTCAAGTCGGCCAACACGAAATTTTTAATTAAACATTTATTATTATAAATGTTAAATATTGTTGGTTACTTGAAATATTGAAATATTAAAGAAATGCTACAGTCTCGTTACAGAATTATTCCGTCGGGATTTGTAACCGTTCATCATGTAACCGTTGTGGATAGTTGATCAACAGTTACAAACCTCGACAGAATGGTCTGTAACAGGACTGTAGAATCTCGTAATATTATACCAATTGATGATTGACGATGTGAAATTGTATACTGGAATTCTTTACAAGGAGGCCAGGTTTCGTTTGTTGACTGCAAGTGGGTGAATATTTTCTATCTTGGCAACTTAATTTCATTTTAATCGTTTTAGCCAAGCGGATTAATGCGATGGTAATTTGTATTTTATCACCACAGTTATTATTTTTAATCTCCAGTCAACTACACATGTTTGAGAAAGTGGTATATATCGAATTGTTACGTGAAAGCGGACAAAATATTGAAATCTTGTTAAGTTTTGTTATTTAATTGCAGGTTGGTGAACTTTTTCAATATTGTCCGTCTCAAGGCGATTAGTACACTTCACAACATTATTTAATACAAGATTTGACTTGATTGGAGATAACTTCTTGACTGACTTGATTCTCAGATATCTAGTAAGAACGATTTGACATCAATAACGTTGATTCGAGGACTTAGTGTACGATTGGATATTAATAAATCTGGTTTTGATTGGATTTATTGGTTAAAGTGATTTATTTTTTGAATAAGTTGACTGTGTTTATTGGTTATAGTCTTAATTTTGAATAACGTTGATGAAGTTAAATGACTGATCAGTGAGATTTTGAATTTGTATTTAAATAATATTCAAGATATAATAATTAAAATTGATGTAATGTTAAAGTAGTTGTTGAGTGATAAGTAGTTAAAAAATATGTGAGTGTATTAATAGTGAATTAAAATTGATGTGATGTGTGAGAATGTTCGATTGATATTTGTTAATTATATTGATAATATTGAGTAGAATTGAGTTGGACAAAACGTGAGTTGGTTTTGAGTTAAGCAGTGTATTTAAATTATTCGATCAATCAAAATCGATTTTAACAGACACCCAATCGAGCCCTTAGAGGTTAATTATTTCTCTTTTTTTTTGGTACAGGGACCTTTCGGTTTCCGGATCCACAGGGGAACCGACTAATCCGGAATCGAGCCGGGTAGGACCACAAGGGCGGGAAAGCTCTCCTTCAAGAGTTTTAAAACTGCTGCATTCCCAGGGCTCGAACACGAGACCACTGGTTAAACTTGTTGGAGTATCACTTGTGAGTTGTCCCACATTGAATCTATAGGGAAAATGAGTCTAGTATATAAGCCTAGTGGGCTACTCCTCCCATCACCAATTGGTTTTGGGATGGAACCCCACTAAGGTGCATCTAGGCTCACCCTCTTATAGTGCGCTTAATCTGGTGGGACCGCACTCTCTTGCCTCAATTCTCTAATCTTACATGGTATCAGAGCCAGGTCGACTCCTGCCTGGGTTTCTATCTCTACCCGACCAACTTTGGCCTGGGTCTCTATCTCTACCCGGCCTGCTCTGGGCTTGGGCTTATGAAGGACTCACAAGTGAGGGGGCGTGTTGGAGTATCACTTGTGAGTTGTCCCACATTGAATCTATAGGGAAAATGAGTCTAGTATATAAGCCTAGTGGGCTACTCCTCCCATCACCAATTGGTTTTGGGATGGAACCCCACTAAGGTGCATCTAGGCTCACCCTCTTATAGTGCGCTTAATCTGGTGGGACCGCACTCTCTTGCCCCAATTCTCTAATCTTACAAAACTGGAAGAGACCCCAACACTGATGCATTCCCAGTACTCTTCGGTGGTTATTTCTCATTTTAAACTCATGAGGAAAGCAAATTGAATGTCAAATTGAGCATTGTTAATCTTGATCTTCTCGCTGTCACTTGATATTACTTGATTTATGTTAACCAAAGGGTCAACAACTTAATTTTCGATTTAAAGATTTGATTTTCCAAGAACATGATGAACATGAATTCATGATTTTGATTGTCAAATCGGTTTCCGATCACGTCCACACCGTTCTTGACTTTATTATCGTAATATAGAGGATTGGAGATTCAACTTCGTATTAAGCGTTAATATTTCAATATAATGCACTTGAATCTTCAAATTATTTGTTTGAACGTTGAATACAATTTGAAATCTTCAAGAAGGGGTAATTTATTTAAAAAAAAAAAAAACCTACAAAATAAGTGGACAAAAATAAGTGGACAAAAAAAAAGGAGTGGATTAAATAAAAAATTAAAAAAACGAAAACGTATTCCTGGAATACGTTCTTATTTCACTTTTGTAAATAAAAAAAAAAAGAAAACAAATTCAAAATTGTTTACATTAAATTAAAAAAATAAAATAAAAACGTATTATCCAAATACGTTATTTAAACCCTAAAATTGATTTTTAGGGTTTAAATAACGTATTTCGGAAATACGTCTTCAAAGTTTTATTTTTTTTTAAAAAAAGAAAACATATAAAACCGTATGTAAGAACATTGGTTTGGCATCGTGTCCGACAAATCTAAGTGTTTTCTAGAAGATTTCTTGTTAAGCAAGCAAAATAAATTAAAGGGAAGTTTTTCTATTTATTTACTTGTAATTTAATTAAGTTCCTAATATTAATTATTAATAATATATGGTATATATTTATTGTAGTATGTATTATGGAATCCTAATCCTTTAGGAGAAGGATTACATAATATATATCTTATATATATACTTACCATGTATGCCACATGCCATAATTAGTTCTCTCTTTCTTGTAGGACAAGTAATAAGTGGCAAGAACTACGAAAGGATGAGCAATTCGTGAATATGGAGTTCTGGACGTTCATGAGAAGATCTAATGAGGATTTGGAAAGATTCACCACAAGATCTTTGAAGATTTGGAAGATCGGCTATTTTTGGAAAGTCATGTTCTTACCCGATTCTGGAAGGCAAGATTTCCATTGGAAGCTCAATTCTGAAGATCTCCAAATCACATACACGAATTCCACATCAAGGAAACTTACCTTACATGAAGGATTTCGTCCAAATCAGAAAGCAATCAATTGAGAAGGAAATTGACTCCTAAAAGAAAATGAAGAACTTGGAGAATACTCCACCCTAAGGAGTTGTATATATACCCTACTTGAAGATCGAAGATAGGCTGCTGAAATAATTATCTTCCATTCAATATTCGAGCTTCAAGCCTTTTTAATTTTATTATCGTTACTCGGTTTTCTGGTGTTCTTACGCCATCGAAGAACTGAAAACTTTTATTTTGTTTCTTTTGTTTTTCATTCAAACACTTTTGTGATCAGTACTTAGGGATTAAGTACAGTGGTTAGCTCGAGGGATTCGAGAGGTAGAAGTCCACGGGACGTAGCCGGAGAAGTAATTGGTAGAATCGTGTGTAGTTGTAGCTAGACTAGAAGGGAGTTCGAGTCGTGTAAGTCCAAACTATACAAGTGTTCAACGGTTTATCAATGAAAGAGCTCTGATGGGAAGTGGGACGCTTCCCTGAAGAGTTTTTACATCTTCGCTTTATTGCTTCCGCTATTTACGTTGTTTATTCACGTTCTTACATCGTTTTGCGCACTCGAGTTAAAAATATACGTTTCACCGTATTTACGAAATACGGTTTTAAAAATTATTTAACTTTTTTTTATAAATCACCCAATTTTCAGTGCGCTTGAATAAAAAAATATATTTAAATAAAACGTATTTAGCGAATACGTTTTACAATAAATACATGTAAAACGTATTCTTTAAATACGTTTTAAAGGTAAATACATTTAAAAAAATCTCTTCTTCTCCATTCATTTTACGCGAGCAACAGAGAGAGGAGCAGAAAGAAAGAACAGAAAGAGCGAAAATACTCAGAAAAAAAAAAACTCGATCCAATCCTCACCCCGACGTGAACCGACAACAGCGAAACGAGCTTTATTTCTAGTTAATTCATTCACACGAGGTATATTGACTTATCTTAACTTTTTATATTTGTTTGGAGTTATTTGGAGATTGAGAATTGTTTTAATATGTTTGAATGTGGTGGTGTTTGAAGATTGAAATTGATAATTGATTATCGATTATGTGTGTATGTTGAATTGGAGATTGAAATTTTGTGTGTA